GGGCAGAATTTGTGACTCTCGGTTGCCGTTCTGCAGGTAAGGAAATGGAAGCTTTAATGAAAGTCGGGCAGATTCCTCGGCGGGTGCTTCTGATCCCATCCCTCTTGGTGTACGTGTCAGCCCACTCAGGCTAGCTCACTGCGTGACACCCAGCATCTTCCTTCCCTCTCAGGGCCTCGGTTTCCCCAGCTGTAAAGGGAGGGTGAGCTGGAGGGATCCAGAGCGTCCCATTTTGATGTGTTCAGAAGCCAGGGCCCCACAGATCAGCCTGCCAAGCCCTTCTGGCACCTGCCTGCTGTCCCTTACCCCCCAGTCTCTATGGAGATCTGAGGATCAGGAATGCTAGTTGGAAAAGAAAAAGGGGGCCCCCTGCTGGCCGGGCTGGGTCACTCCACAGGGCAGATGAACTGCCAGCCACCTCCCTCCCTGCCTCTGAGATTGTGTTTGTCAGGGCCACCAGCCTGGGACATTTTACAACGGCTCCTGGCTGTGGGTCTCCCCAGGCCAGGACCACGGTCACCTGAGCTCAGAGTAGTGGGAAGCCACTGGGACTTGGGCAAAGCTGCAGGCAGGGAGCCAGGGGATTCCTGAAGGGGTGCTGACTTCAGTGTGCACACATCACACACACGCACACATGCATGGACATGCACAGTCGGCACAGACACACACATCCATGTGTGCACACTCACACACCTCCCTTCCAGCAGCCACAGGCCAGCAATGAGGTGCACACGAGACATCAGACCACCCATATAGGGAACCTCTGAGAGCCCTACCCCGGGAGGCCGGGTAGGGGCAGGGGCAGGAGAGGCATCGTGTGGCTGGGGTGTCCCATGTGTGTACTGGACTGTCTGCTGGTTTTAGGAAACTGCCTGCCATATACTGTGCCGGTGGCACGGGAGGGCTGCAAGGGACTCAGGCAGATGTCCTACCTTTCCCTCTGGGACCCCATCCCTCTGTGGCTATGGTGAGGGACCTCTGGAGCCTCCGTCTCCTCTTCCACTCACAGGTCCACCCCACTGCAGCACAGGGATGGTGAGGACCTGGGACAGGTGTGCACCTGGGGCCAGGAGAGGGCACGTGTGGTCTCCAGCTGCACTGGGGTGTTGGCTTAGGCAGCGGGCTGGGTGGGTTCATGCTGGGGCAGGCAGGGCCTGCCACTTGGCACTCAGCCCCCTGGGGACACCGAACCCCCTTATCTGTAATGCAGAATAACTTCAGAATTGATCAGGAGTTCAACGATGAAAGCCCATGAGGCTTAGGCTCAGAGCCTGGCACTGGCTAAGGCTCGCTGCATGGGAATCATTTTAATATCTTGGAATCTGAGGATAGGAGGGTGATCTCCCCGGGTCTCAGAGCCAGTGCCCAGAATGCCACCCGCCCTGCCCTGCCATGTGGCACTGGCCACCTCACGGACGTGTGTGGGTGTCTTCAGGAGTTCTGCACAGTGTCATTGCAGGCGGCAGTGGTACGGGGAGTTCTCCCAGGTCAGGGAAGCTGAAGGGAACTCTCGGAACTCAGCACCTTTGGTGTGCTGGGGTGGGAAACTGACGCGCAAGGAGGGAAAGATGAGCGGTCCCGGGTTCCTCAGCCCAGGTCGGACTCGCACTGCATGCATCTCGCAGGGAAGGAGAAAAGCTGTGGTGTTCATACTCCGTCCTCCCCAGGAGCGCTGGCCCCTCAGGCTCCCAAGCCCAGAATTCGCCTGTCTCGCTCTGCATCTCGGCTGTGGCCTGACATTGTGGGTGTCTCTGAGAACCAGGCTGGTCTCCTTCCCTATCTTAGGGGCCCAGCAGGCGTGCAGTCCACCCGCCCAGGACCGTGGCGGTGTTTCCAGTGGGCTGGCTGCCGGAATGGGACCCACCTGGGGAGAGAGCCACAGCCACCCCGAGGGTCATTCACTCCCCTAGTCAGGTGTGCGCAGGCCATCAGAATGGGTTCTAAAAGATAGAGGCATAGCAGAGACCAAGGGTGGGAGGGGGGCCCCTGTGGCGTTCTCACAGCTGCATGTGGATTTGAAATGATTTATTGGAGGTCGATGTGGGACACCGCCCATTCGCTTAGAGCTGCAGTACCAGACCCCACACCCACCTGAATAGGCAGCACAGCCCCTGATGCTTGTGGCCTCGGCAAGCTTCCTCGAGCGCCTTCCCATGCACGGCACAGACGGGCTATGTCCAGGGTGCCAAGAGCTTTGGAAAAGCCGTGTGCAGGCTGGACGCGGGCTTCTCTGTGCACATGGCAGTCTCAGGGGTTCCCTGTTGTTGTTTTAGGTTGTCCTTCATTTGACATTCGTGCTAGAGATTCAGACCTCATGTTTTCTGGGTCCTCTCCCTGGCAGAGGTGGGACATGCTGGTGCCACTGGGAAGCCCCACAAATAAATTTGGTTTTCCGATTACATGGAATTCTGGCCCATGTGGGAACCATCAGAGATGTGAGCCCCTCTCTCTGTCTTTCTTGGCATGAAGCTTCCATGTTGAGGTTTCTAAAAGTATAAAACCAGCCCAGCTGAGCCCCTCCCTGACCTGGCCCAGGGAGCTGCCCCTGCCTGGCAAGATCAGAATAGAGGCCTCTCCCTGTAGGCTGTATCCCCACCCTTTAAGGTTCTAGCCCAGCAGGCCTGGAATTCCTGCGCTGGTGACCTAAGCTGCTGCTAGCCAAGCCACGAGGACAGAACCAGCAGGGGTTGAGGGGTTCAAAGCTGGAATTTGAAGGACTCAGCCCTAGACCCACTGCCTCCAGCGTGAGTCTCTGTGTGGCTCCTGTGTATGATGACACGCAGGGCGCTGGCCAAGCTGGCCCCATCTGTTCTACCCAGGGCCCCGGGAAGGGGCCCCCAGGGCCAGAAGGACATCCGCTTGAGTTGGGTCCTGGCCAGGAACTCAGTCACGGGGCCCCAATTCCTTCCCGTACACAGCCTGACTGAGCAGAGTCGATGTGTCATGTCACCCCCTTTTGCTAGCTAGAGGGCCGGGGCCCCTCAGACTTGGGGAGCTTCATGTGTGGGCTTTGGGGTCAGATGTGGCTGAGGGGCTTTAGGCAAAAGACGGGACCACTCTGGGCTGTCTCCGGTAGGAAGCTTCCAGAGCCCAGGAGTCGCTCTGCGCTGCTCCCTGCTCCAGAGCTAGCCCGAGAACACCCTCGTCTGTGCTCTCTCCAGGGAAGGTTACGGCTCGCTGAGGCTCTGGAAAGACCTGGGTTCCCCCCTTCAGGCAGAGCCTGTCCTGAGCCACTCCACCCGCCAAGGCACCAGGCCCGTGGGAAGGGAGGGCCTGCGAGGCACTGCCTCCTGGGCTGACTAGGCGCGTGACACTTGTTTCTGGTTGCTTCGTTTGAACAGCTTGGGTGAGATTTACTTCACATAGCACACAGTCCGCCCGCTTCAAGGGCACAGGCCGAGGAGTTTGTGCATTCACGGCTGTCACCACAGCCAGTATCAGAACGCGTCTGTCACCTTATGGGGGACCCTACCACCCTCAGCAGCAACCCCACATTCCCCAGCCAGCCTAGCCCAGCCTGAGACCGAGGCAGCTGCTTGCTAATCTCCCCTCCGTCTCCAGAGATGCTGGAAACGGAGCCTGTCTGCCTCTCCTCTCCCTAGCACGGTGTTGTCGAGGCAGGTCCTCCTGGCCGCATCGTTGCTGAACTTCCTTTGATCGTGAAAGAGCTTTCCATTGTGTGCCTGCATCTCTCCTTTCCTTTGATTATTCACTGCTGGACCTGTGAGCAGTTCCCACCTTCTGGGGTGTGATGGCTGCTGCCAAGGTATCTACACACGAGCTCCTGCGTCTCCCTCCGCCCCTCTGGGGTCGGTGCCAAGAGGCAGAATCGCTAGCTCTAGGGTAACTTTGCATTTGATCCTTCGGAGGACCCGCAGGACTGTTTCCCAAAGCCGCTGTGCCGTGGCTCCCTTCTCCCCACGGGTAAGAGAACTCCCACCTCTCCACGTCCTTAGCGGCACACATTACTGGCTTCTTCAGTTCAGCCGCTCTCTGGGATGCGGAGCGGCGTCTCCAGGTGGTCGTACCTGTGTCTCCCTAATGACTGAGGTGTCAGGCTCACACTCCTGTGCATGGACTTCCTGGCCAGGTCTTGGAGATTGTTTAGATTCTTCACCCAATTTTTCAAATGGGTCGCCCCTTTCTTTTGTTTCTTCTTCCTCTCCTTCTTCTTCCTTTTTTAATATGGCCTTCCCAGTGAACCCCCAGCCCTTTTTATCCTTTAGGTTTATTTATTCATTTTATTTTGAGACCAGGTCTCGCTAAGTTAGTAAATGGCCTGGTCGGGGGTTAAAAATTTGCCGTCTTCCTGCCTCAGCCTCCCAGAGTGCTGAGACTACAGGCACGTAGCACCATGCCTGGCTTCTTTTTCTTGGTTTTCTCACTACAAATAGGTTGTCTTGTTAATTAAGCTGTAAGACTTATTTGTGTGTTCTCAAAATAAGTGCCATATCAAATACAGGAATCGCCAAAATTCCCCTACGTTCAGTGGCTGTCCTCGAATTGTCTGGCAGTGTCCTTTGCAGCGAAAGTGTTTAATCTCGATGAAGTTCAATTTACCCCTTGTTTTGTTTGGTTTGGTTTGGTGGCCCATTTCTGGGTTTCTTGTTTTTTGTGTTTTTAATCAAACTTCTCTCCCCAGGGAGAAAATGGAGTAAATGAGGCACTGTCTGGTTGGGTTAGGGTCATTTTTGTGGGCCAGGGCCCAGGAGTTCATCTTAGCACAGAATCGGGTTCCCTCCACTTGCAGCATTTGGGGTCAGGCGCTTGCCTGACGTCAGCTCCTAACCCCGGGGGACTCGGCCAGTTTGGAGCCGGGAAGGACAGGGTCAGCTTCCCGTGTGGGTGGGAAATCTGAGGAGTGAGAAGAGGGACTACGGGCACAGTTGGTCTGGGTTCAAATCCTAGGCATCCCGCGGGACACTGGACATTTTACCGTCTGTTGAAAGGCTCCGGAGCAGGTGCTGGGGCCTCGGGCTGATGCACTCTTCTGTCCACAGCCATGAAGGCCGACCGGAAACGCTTGAAGGGCGAGAAGACGGACCTGGTGAGCCAGATGCAGCAGCTGTACGCCACGCTGGAGAGCCGCGAGGACCAGCTGCGAGACTTTATCCGAAACTACGAGCAGCACCGCAAGGTGGGTACCGCCCGCAGGTCCCAGCCGGGCCTGGACGGTGTGCACAGGGGAGTGGGGGTCCAGCTGCTACCACTCCCTGATCCCATGCCTGCCCCCGGCTTCCCCTTTACCTCTGTGAGCCTCCGTCTCCCCATCTGGAGGAGGGTGATGGTGCACGGCTGCCGTGAATGCCCTGGGGTTGTGGGCACTGAGCCCAGGGCATGGTGCCTAGCACAGAACCAGCACTCAGTGGCTGGGACCCGTTCAGCTGATGAATGCGCCGTGACAAGTGTGAGGAGAGCAGCGCACCTGGGAGACAGCAGTAAATGCTTCCTGCAGGAAGAGAGTCTGGGAAGGTTTCACAGAGGAGGCGATGTATGAGTCGGGCTCTGTGGCATGCGTAGGAGTTTGTGGGTTAGATACCTGAGGAATTTGATTCAGCAAATGCCCATGTAGAATCTGCGATATGTGTGCCCAGGAGGATACTGAACCTGGAAGAGTCCAGCCCCAGTCAAGCAGGGCTTTGCGAGCCACTGTGTCAGCAGAGGACTTTGACCTTCTGATGTGCAGGGCAGAAGAATAGCAGAAAGCCACTGACACAGTGGGAGGTGGGGTTCACAGTGTGCAGCACTTTTGGCGATGGGAGGGCTGAGCTGTTCTGGTCACAGGCGGCGGACAGTTCCAGCAAGGATGTGGGCCCTGAGCCGCAGATGAGATGCTATGTCCCCAAGCCTTCTCGGCTCTTTCCCAGTGACACCGCTGTCCTGTCCCTGGGGCCCGTGTCCCTTCCTCTCCATGATGAGAGCAGCCGAGCACTGTCCGTGCCAGCTCCCCACCGCCTGGACGGTGTTCGGGGCTCTGGCGGCCCTTGGTGCCCCTCAGCCACTGCTGCCTCCATCTGTCCACGTTAGGCCCCTTAGCTCAGCCCTCTGCGTCTGTCCCTGGCAGATACAATGTGCAGCCTGGGGACACCCTGGAGGGAGACGGCGGGTACAGGGCACAGATCCTGGGGTCTGCACCCTCATTGCCACTGCGCCACAGCTTGGGCATCTCTGGAGAGGGAAGCCCGGGGCCCTGGTGACACAGGCACCTGCCTGCATGCACACCGCGTCAGAACAGTGCGTACTTTCACATGCTCGGAGCAGAGCCCCACACAGCCTGGGCTCCATACCTCACAGTTGCCCAGAGCCGTGGGGAGGGCCACCCGTGCAACCCATTTAACAGCTGAGCTTGTGGGGAGGCGAAGTCACCCTCCATGGCAGCTTGGTAAGGTGCACAGGGCCGGGGTGCAGAGCCCCCTTGCAGCGTTTTTGTCAGGAAGGCTGGCACTCTGCGCTGTGGTGGTGGACGTTTCATTATTATTCCCAGGACTCAGGTCAGTCATTTGATCCCAGAAATGCCGCTGTGGGCTTCAGAGCCTCCTAGAAGGAGCGTTCATCTGTCACCATCTAGCGTTGGTCTCCCTGGCACCCAGAGAAGGAAGCAACGCCCCTGGCTGGCGGGAGTGGGCCAGCGCTGGGAGGGCAGTAGGCAGGCAGAAACTGTGCAGAAAGAACCCGAAGGAGGCACGAGGGCCTCAGAGGACGCAGGGGCCAGGTGCTGGAGGACGTCACCCCGGACCTGCACCTTTAAAGGGGACAGATCAGGATTCCAGAAAACCAGGCACAGAGGCGCCAGTACGGGACCCCGAGGGTCAGAATGATGGCGCTGTTAAGGGCATTCACTGATTACGGCCTCAGAGGCCGCCTTAGCGGGAGCTGGTGTAAAGGTGATCTGAGCAGTACCCAGCTTTGCTCTGCCCCTCCGTGCGCACACATGGCCTTTTCTCGCTTCCCGTTTGCCACTGCGACAGTAACCCCGAGGGCTGGGGTGGTCTCCCTGCCTCTGACTCACAGAGGTGACCGTGGAAGCTGAGGCGAGGTCCCCAGCCTGGGGTCAGCGCGGAGGCAGCGTGCCAGCCCCGGAGTCCGCTGCGGAGCCTGCGCGTCCCCCACGCGGTGTAAAGTGTTTGGATGGCCTAGGTGTGCAAGGCGCCCCGAGTGGTCCCCAGGGAAGTGGCTGTGCGGCCAGCCTGGCGCTTAACGGCAAGGGCATCTCAGGTCTCTGGGGGTAGCATCGAATCCACTCCCATGGGGCAGGAAAATCCCGCAAACGCCACGTCATTCTGAAGCCATAGGTAATAAAAGGCCACGCACCCAGCCAGCAGCGAGGTGGGGGTTGAAAGTACGGAATAAGTAGAAGCCTCTAGTAGAGACCCCCGCGTGCAGCTCAGGATGGCCCCGCTGAGCTCCAAGGTCATGTTTGTCCACTGACCTCACTGTGCCTTTTAGGTTCATTTGGGAAAATGAAATTTGGAAGACACCTTTCTGTTCCCTCCACTAGGACCTTCCCACGGAATTTACACCCCCGTGTGCCTCCCTGCTTTTTAATTGTAAGACAGGGTCTCACTGAGTTGCCCAGAATGCACTTGAACTTGTATTCCTCCTGTCTCAGCCTCCCACAATGCCGGGATTGCAGACGTGAGCCACCACGACCAGCTGGAAAATGCTCATTTTTAGACGTTACTGCTCTGCTCCCGGTTTCCACGGAGGGCCAGGCTCCTCCAGGCGGGCCAGAGCAGAAGCAGTGTCACAGCCTCTGGTCAGTGTTGGGTCCCAGCCCGTTTCACAGATGCATTTTCCAAGACCACGTCGTTAGAGCCACTGCGAGAAGCTGAAGCCGCGTGTCCTGGGGGTGCCCCCGAGGGGGTCCCTGGCTCCAGAGTCTCCCCCAGGGTCATAACCCCACGGACGCTGTCTCTCCCCTGCCCGCAGGAGAGCGAGGATGCGGTCAAGGCCCTGGCCAAGGAGAAGGACCTGCTGGAGCGGGAGAAATGGGAGCTGCGGCGCCAGGCCAAGGAGGCCACGGACCACGCGGCGGCCCTGCGCTCCCAGCTGGACCTCAAGGACAACCGCATGAAGGAGCTGGAGGCCGAGCTGGCCATGGTGAGAGCCGCTCGCTGGGCACGCGACCTCAGGCTGCCCTGCAAGCTGGGGGTCGGGACGAGCAGCGCTCCAGGGCCCTCGGCCCCAGAGCCCATCCGTCCCTGTCAGCAAGTGTGGGGAGCAGGAGACCTCAGCCTGTCCACACTCCCCAGGCAGCTGTAAGAGCAGAGGGAAACAGGCTGGAGGATGTGTATATATTTGTTTAGGAAAACACGTGGAAAAACATACACCAAAATAAGAACATTAGTTATCTCAGATGGGAGGAATTGCACATGACTTCTATTTCTTTTTTGCTCTTTTTTTTTCAAATGTATCTGAGGACAAGTCTTACTTGGGTCACTCAGGGTGAAAAATGCTATTTTTTTAAGTTGCAAAACAAACTCCCCAAATATTCCCGAACGCTGTTCTGAGAAGGTGCCTGGGGTACTGCAAACCCAGAATTTGGTTCCATCTGTCCTGCACGACCTGAGCCACACTCAACTCATCTAAGCCTCCGGTCCTCCCTGTCACTGGGGCAGGGGCTGGGCTTTCCATCCTGCACTCCCCTTCCCAAGGTGCTGGGTAGACGCAGAGAGCTGAGAGGGTCTCTGAAGGCCACCAGGGCTGTCCCGCAGTGCCCCCCCCGGACCTTCCAGTGCAGCCGTACAGAAGCACACTTAGTCTTTGCCTGTGTGTCGTAAACAGTGACAGGACGGTTTCCGGTGGTGACTTTCCTCAGGGCAGGCCTGGCTCCTTTTGTTGCCTGGGTTTCCTGGCCCAATGCTGACCCCTAACGGTGAGGGCCATCGAGGCAGGAAGAGGCAGCAGTCTGGGGTCCCCTCTGGGGTGGGCTTTCTGCCATGGCGTGGGTGGTGCATCTCAGATGAGCTCTCCTGGTGCCCAGGGCAGACAGACGTGGTGGCTCCTTGCCTGGACTGAGAGCCACTCACCTCTGCCCCTGGTCCCCCAGGCAGACAATCGGGCCTGCCTCTTTCCGGCAGACATCCAGCCCTCAGCTGTGGGGAGATGCAGCCTAGGTTGTGGTTCTGTTGAGGCATCAGCACGGGCGGTGTCTGCCCAGGCACAGAGGACGGGGACTTTACAGAGCCATGGCGGCTCCTGGCTTGTTGGGGAGTCCGTCTCACTGCAGGTCCTCCTGTCGCCCGCCACCTGTGGTTCACAGCCAGGCCGTGATTGGCTGGCATAGCTGCCCTCTCCACGCTGCTGGCCTGGGGCTGCTCTGAGTAGCTGTGCCGGGAGGAATCAGGGTTCGAGGTGCCCTAGGAAGGGAGGGGCCGGGTTCAGAGAAGGGCGGGACGCCGAGGCGCTGCGGGTTGAGGCCGGCCTGAGCTCCGGGAAGAAGGGTCCTCACTGCAGCCGGTGCTGCGGAGGAGCCCCAGGATCTTGTCCTCCTTGATCGCCCTCCCCCCAGTCCAGGTGAACAAGGGTTGGGCCTGAGGCTGGAGAAGAGGGGAACGTGGCTCTCCACACAGTGGGTTTCGTCCTGCTTTGTGTGGTTCTGGAGATTGAAACCAGGGGCTGTGCGCTGAGCTGCATTCCCAGCCCTTTCATTTGTTTTCACGCCGAGACAGGGCTTCCCTAAGTCACTCAGTTGCCCAGATTGGCCTCCTACTCGTTACCACCTGCCTCGGTCGCCCAGATCCCCGGGAGAACAGGAGCACCCCACCACGCTCTCGGTGACGGGAAGACTAGTCAGTCTTGGCAGCCGTGTGCGGTTATCCCCAGGTGGCAGACGGGGACCCAGAGACGGGAAGAGGGGAGGAGCCTCTCCAGATCCCACAGCTCCGGCAGTCTGATTGCGGAGTGCCAGCCCACGGCACGGCGCTTCCGTATGACCAGTGAGGACCCTGGTCCGAGCGGTGGAGAACCTGGTGCAGCCCACACGGCCAGTGGTCCACGTGGATTAGGAGCACATTTCTACCTTGGCTTTGTCACACAAGCACGCCTGTGTCGCTTTACGAGTTTGCAGGCTCTTGGAGTCGGAGGAGGGAGAGGCTCAGACACAAAAGGAGGGTGTCCGAGCTCAGGAGGGGCCACCACAGGAGGTGGCACTTGTGGGAGCGGTCGGTAGAGAGACGCTGCGTAGATCGCCTTGGGGAGGTGGCCCAGCCCAGCCCAAGTGCGCACATGTGTGAAGGGAGACCTCGCCAGCCTCACCTGCCATTTCACTGTCCCTGGTAGCACAGGCTCCGGGACCTCAGATAGTGTGCGACAGTTGTAATCCCAGCACCTTGGGAGACGAGGCAGAAACATGACAAGTCTGAGCCCAGCGAAGCCTCTGTCTTAGAGGAAAAGAGTCGGCAGTGTGACTCCGTGGGAAGGGCCTGGCTTCAAGCCCCGGGACTGGAAAAAATAATTGTGAGTGGGTACAGTGAGAGGCTCCCGTGCCCGAACACACCGGTACCGCTACCAGTCCTGAGCCTGTGAGAGAAGGCACCACCCAGGCCCGACAGCGGGGAGACCCTGCTGGGTGGGGACAGCAAAGCATCCTGCCCAGCCTCTTCCTGTCACCCTCCTGTGCCACCTCACAGGGCTGCTCGTTTCTGGGGACGGACAGACATTCCCTCACTTTCCATGTATGTGGCTGGGCATCTCTGCACGAGGAGAGAGCCCAGGGCTGCGTGCAGCGTGATGGGCCTCCTGTCTCCCGCTCACAAGCCAGGGGAGCCGGTCAGGAAGTAGAAATGAGCAGAGATGAGAATATGTAACTGATACACGCGTCCTTTCTCCCCAAAAGAACTGGAGCTCACATACCCTGGGGGAGTTGGCATGGCTAAGGCATCTCAGTGGCGGGCAGAGCGGAGCTGCAGTCACCCCAGAGGGCCCTGCCTGCCCTCACTCTACCCCGAAGTATTCCTGGGCTGGGTCGGGGACCTGCGGGGTCCCTAGCCTGGGATCAAGGAGGGACCTTCGCTCCCGTGGCGTCGGCAGACCACAGACTGAGTTCGGGAAGTCACGGTAACGGGAGCTCCACTCGCTGGCCAGCCCTTGGAGAGCCCTGAGGGAGGCCTCCCTCTGCTCCCCTTGCTGGCCTCCCTGTGCTCCTGGAAGTGATTCTCTCACACAGGGTTCCGACTCCCTGAGGGTAGCCTGGAGCTCTGCCGCCCAGTGCAGAGGTGGCTTCTTGGCTTTCTGGCCACGGTGGTGAGGCAGCCTGAGAGGTCCCCTTCACCGCAGCTTCTTCCTGCCCCCCGCTCTCTCTCCAGGCCAAGCAGTCCTTAGTCACGCTGACCAAGGACGTCCCCAAGCGGCATTCTCTTGCTATGCCGGGCGAGACGGTGCTCAACGGCAACCAGGAGTGGGTGGTACAGGCAGACCTCCCGCTGACCGCAGCCATCCGGCAGAGTCAGCAGACGCTCTACCACGCGCACCCTCCCCACCCTGCGGACCGGCAAGGTGAGTCCTCCTCAGCCTGGCCCTGCCACGGCTTCCAGTGCCGCTTAGGAGGCCGTCCAGCCTGGTGTTGACAGGCGGGTTCACACTGCAGCAGCCTAGGATGGTGTGGGGCAGAGACCGCGGGCTTTTGTTACTGAAAAGGCTAAGAGATGGACTTCAGGCATAGCCGGCTCCAGTGGTCAAACAATGGCTGAGTCTCCTCTCTGACCATTTCTTTCCACCTCTCAGCTCTGCCCAGCTCCGGTAAATCTCATCTTTGAGTTGTCTCTTGCTACTGAAGCAAAGCAGACCCCTTTTAAGGTCTTTAAAGCTGACCAATCTTGAAAAACAAGCTGTCTCTTCCCTCGCTATCTATATCAAACTCCAAAAAACAGTCGGGGTCACAAGTCCAACCCTTGGCCAACTACTGTGTCTAGAGAGGAGCTGGTACTCTGATTGGTCAGCCTGTCACATGCCCACTCTGGACCAATGAGTGTGTCCACAAAGAACTAAGTATCCTGATTGGCCAACTGCAAGGGAAGCACCAGAGTCCTTGATTGACAGCTCCAGCCAATCACAGGATGTGCAAGAAGATGGGAGTATAAATGTCACAGATGTATTTGCTCCAGACTCTTGGCAGGGGCTTCCTGAGCAATGACTGTGGCCTGCACCCTCAACTTCTTTATGCATAAAAGGGGCACTGGGTTCTTAGTGCACGGTATGGATTGTGATTCTGTTTGCTGAGACTTCCCTCTACCCACCTCATGGGGTTGCCCTGGCAATGAAATGCACACAGTTTCTGGAATGGGGCCCAGGTAAATACTGGCTGCCGACCTCACTGGTAATACCATCATCATTGTCTTCCTTGAGAGGTGTCACACAGCGCTTTTAGAACCTGACAGTAAACAAACACAGTACTCCCTCTGCCAGATGGAGACGGTCTGCCCAGGGCAGGGTGACTCCAGGGTCGGGGCTGAGGGCTTCTCCTTGGGAGCCGAAACGCAGAGCTAGGAGAGTTCGGACCAAACTGCACATGTCCAGCTTTCTCCTTGGGCGGGGAAACTGATCCCCCGAGAGGGCTGCTCTTTACCTCCTTGAAGCCCAGGTGCACAGCCAGCTGTCCTGCCCAGGGACCAGCTGGGGTGGCAGGAGGCGGGGCCTCTCCTCGGGAGCACATGCTGGGCTGGGAGGAGCCGACAGATCTGCCCTGGGCCCTGCCTCAGCTGCAGACACCTCCTCCTCTGGGAAGCCTCCCTGATTTCTCCTGGGCCCTGGGCCCTGGTGAGACGAGACACTGCGGCAGAGCCTCCACCGCATGCCTCCCTGCAAATACACTTGCCCTCCACCCTTGTCACCCGGTGCCTCCTTGCAGTAGGCTTGTCACCCACGGCCGCCGTGTGGCACTGGGCCATTGCCATCCCATCAGTAACAACCGGCTCGGGGAGGGTGAGGAGCGAGCCCCAGACCACCCAGCCTGCGGGGTCACCTGGACTGGAGCTGATTGCCCCGTCGCACCCCAGCACCCCCGACACACAGCAGTCAGGTTGCAGCAGACACCGGCCCTGCAGACAGGAGAGCAGTCTGTCGGTCACTCCCGCCCCCGGACTTCTTAGCCCTCTGTTTATTGAGCTCCTACTCGCGCTGGGCTGCATGTGGTCTGGAGTCGGACACAGATGAGACACTCGGGCCACCTCCTGTGACCTGGTCTGTGAGCAGGCAGACGGCACCACGTTCATAGAGCAGCGGGAGTCAGGGTGAGGTGCTCCTGGTGGGCGGAGGAGCCCCGGAGCGGGGCAGGAGGGAGACGGGCCCCAGGGGGAGTGTGCGTTTCAGCCCCAGAGCTGCAAGACGCCTGTGGCTCCCACAGCAGAGGCTGCCACATCTTCCAGAGAAGAGCTGGCGGATGCTGAGGAGTAGGGACATGTGGATGGACGTAGGGCTGTGTTTCAGAGGCATGTGCAGGGGACGGAGACCTCGGGGGTCCCCCACTGACTTGGGGGGCTCCTTGTTGGAAATCTGGTGTCAGGCAGGTGAAGGCCACACCGAGTCTGGGGCGTGGCAGGGCCTTCGCAGCAGGTGCCCCACGGGAACAGGCAAGACTCAGTGTTCCCAGCTGTATGATGGGGGCGTTGGGTGCACGGCGGAGACACCCTGCCCGTCCCACTCACCAGCTGTCCCTGCCTTCCAGCAGTCAGGGTGAGCCCCTGCCACTCCCGGCAGCCCTCGGTCATCTCCGACGCATCTGTGGCTGAAGGCGACCGGTCATCCACACCGAGCGACATCAACTCCCCACGACACCGGACGCACTCCCTCTGCAACGTAAGGCCAGCAGCAGCGGGGCTGGGCGCCCGGGCCCTGCCCAGGGACCACAGGGCAGGGGTGGGTGAAGTCGCTCCCGCTTTTTCCTCTCACCCACCCAGGGGGCGCTCTGGCGGAGGAAGGCATTTCCTCTTCTGGTCTTTCCTTTTTCGAGAAGCGCTGGATGTGGGGAGCGAGAGAAAGGAGGCCCGTGTGCTCCTTGTGTCCGGGAGGGCTGAGAGCCCAAGGAAGGCCAGCCGGGTTGGCTGCAGGGTCTGTGCAGCCACCGCTCCGCCCGGGGGGCCCTTCTGGGACCCAGAACCTTCCAGAACCCTGTTCCCCTCAGCACTGGCTCTCGTCCTGCGTCTAGGGATGGAACCCTAGTGTTTGGTTTGTTTGGGGGTTTTTATTTGTCTCCAGGGATTTGGGGAGGTGTTTCCGCTGGAGAGAAGCCCTCCTGTGAATTTGTTCCACATCTGTTCACCTGCTAATTTAATCAGATGCTTTTACTACATCCTGGGTACCAGCTGCTCATAGACGGCAGCTCCAGCCACCTAACTCACAGGGGCCGAGGAGTGAGGCCGATGGGCTCCGTATGAGTCCATTTCCATAGCTGTTACAAAACATTGGAGGCTGGGGGATTTATAAAGCAAAACAGGATTGCCCGGCACACAGCTTTGGAGCGTGGGGCCAGCTGTGGTGTCCCCTTCCTTCCCGCAGGCATGTCCAGGCATGGCCAGGCAGGAGCATATGCGGGAGGGGTCACAGTGAGACAGGAAGCCAGGGAGAGGGGAGGGCCAGGCTCACCTCTATAACGAGAGGAGAGTGGAGTCACCAGGGTCCCGAGAGTGACCTCCATTCCTTCCGAGGGCAGGCAGGGTACCTCAGGCGGTTGGCGCCATGTGCCGAGACAGACAGAGGGTCAGGTCTGCCGAAGCCCAGGCAGGCTTTCTCAAACAGTCAGCTACTGCTGCTTTGTTGACCAGTGAAACGTACTGAAGAGAAAGGAGGCAAACACATTGGAACAAAGCCAAAGCGAATAGTCGCTGATGACGGGTTGGGCCCCGGGGCCCCAGGCATCTGGTGCAGCGTGCAGATCAGTAACGACTCCCCTCCGGGAGAGGAGTCCTGATGGGCACATTCTTTACATCTACAGTGAGAATGAGACGCTCTCACAAAAACAGCTCAGGCTGCAGAGGCTGCCTCAGCCCAGTAGAGTGCAGGGCAGGGGCCTCACGCAGAGGCCCCGCTCAGGGCTGGGCTTCGCTCCTCCGGCTGTGAGGAAGCAGAGAGGAGCTGGTCGTGGTGGAGAGAGCCCAGGCAAGGGGGCGGGCTGCTCCCAGGGCTCTGGAGTCCGCTCTGGCGTGGGAAGCCCCGTGTGCAGTCGCCCCTGGAGCTGGCAGCGCCCCATCCTCCCCGAGGGCCACGCTCTGGCTCCTGGTGGCGCCAGACGGCAGCAGTGCCACTGGCAGGCGTGTCCGCAGGGGGCTCTCAGCCAAGCCAGGCCGGCCTCCCTGCAGCCTGCCGTGTCACGCGCCTGGTGCTGGCACGGTGCTGTCCAAGTGTGCCCTGCACAGGTGCTCTGTAGTGACCCCTGGTTCGTCCTTTTACCCAAACGTTTGGTGACGGTGAGTCTACCCAGCACTATCTCAGTTGCCTGCAGAATAGGTTCTGTCTGTCAAATTTGAGCTGAGACCAAAGACCAAAGCTTTTTTTTTAAGATCTTGCTATTTGCTGTGTCTGTAGTTCAGGCTGGCCTTGAACTCACTGCGTAGCCCAAGCTTCAAACTCGCAGCAGTGATCCTCCTGCCTCAGCCTCCTGAGTGCTGGGATTACAGGCATGTGCCACCACACCCAGTTAAACCATCATTTCTTCCATTCTCTCCCCTGACCCCAAACTCCTCTCTCCATCTGAATAGCTGTGCACACAGGCAGGCTAGGAAAGAGTCCCAAACTAGCTGCAGGTTGCATCTGAACTTGCATCGGCAAGAACCTCACCCTCTCCGCCTGCACCCTAGCCACTGACTGAGGGCAGAGTTCGGGGCTCAGCCCAGAGAGGTTGGAAAACATAGAGCGTGGTCCAAGGGACGCCTTTTAGTGCCGTCTCCCTTCTGGGCATTCTTTCTGCAATTCCAGGAACCACCTCCAGATGGCTCTAGCAGTGACTCTTGCTCCAGTGTCCGCCCTCAGCCAGGCAGGTTGATTCCTGGTGAGGGCTTTTGGGCACTCACAGACCAGCCGAGGTCTCCCGGGGCAGGGCTGGCAGAGCACTAGATGTGCTGGGCCATCTGGGGCTCCTGCCTAGCCCCACGCTGAAGACAAAGTGTGTAGAGCTGCTGCTGGGCTGGGAGAGATCAGCCCAAATCGGAACTGCCTCGCTGCTTGGCATGAGCTCCCGAGAATGAACCGTCACGGCCTGCCAGCCCCTACGCAGACGGTGTGTGCTGCTTGTGGAAGAAGCTGGCGGTCACACTGTCCCCCGACGCATTTCTGTCCCCACCTCATCGTGCTTTAGAGACAAGTATATTTCTTTATGGAAGGGCAGAGCACGTGGGGAGCTCCCCGGGGCCTCTGGCCAGGACCCCTGAGCTGGCCTCCTAGGAGTGTGCGCCCCGGGAGCCGAGGGTGGGCTCCCCACATGGGGGGCCCGGAGGGGTGGTGTCCTTCACGGGGTCACACGCTGCGTCCTTTCATCTCCCTCTTCTCCTTTGGCCACAGGGCGACAGTCCCGGCCCAGTTCAGAAGAACCTGCACAACCCTATTGTACAGGTAGGTGTGCCTTCCGCAGCTCGACCGCCTCGTCCCTGGGCCCCTGTCCTCCCTGCTGCTGCTCTCAGGCTCCCAAGGTGGACAGTAAGGAGCCACGTCCCTGGTCACTCGGGGCCTCCTCTCCTATCCTTTAAAGTTTAATAACCTAGCTGGTGGGCTCTGCTACAGACTTCATCCATTTTTGGCACTTTGAGTAATCTGTTGTCAGCAAGGACAGGGCATCTGTGGCCCCGGGCCCCTCACACTGGCCTGAGCGTCGCAGGGCCTTCCGCTGGGGAGGAAGTGCGGCTCTCTGGGGGCCTTTGCCCAGACTGTCCCGCCACTGTGGGTGGCCGGGAGCCGTGCATCTCCATCTGGCGTGAACCCCACCCTTCTGTGGGTAGCACCGCGTGTGTCTGTATACGCAGCGTGTGGCAGTCGGCAGAACTCGAATGCGGACCCTGCCTCCACTCCCACGGCTCCCCCAGCAGGATGGGCAGAGCGGCCTCCTCCCTATTCTTACTGCCCTTGCTGTCTCCGCCCCAGATGGGAAACTGGGCTCAGAGAAGGCCCAGGGGGACCTGGTCAAGACCAGCCCTTGCCCACCCGCTAAATGGCCCGTCGTGCTCCTGTCCCGGGCGTTCCGAGCTCCTGCCCACACCAACACACACCATACAGGGGGCAGGCACCGAAGGCCTTGGGCAAATTGAGTTTAAATAACAACAACAACAATAATAATAATGGTACAGATGACACTAGCAACGCTATTCGATTCCTCTTACGTGCCAGGCAGTTGAGCTTTTTTTTAATTTACTTTTATTTACTAATTCAGTTTTACAGAACTAATGAGCCAACCCAGGGCCTTCACACTGAGCCACATCCTCAGCCCTGTTTAATTTTCTTCTTTTCGAGACAGGGTCTCACTGAGTTGATAAATTAACTGCCCAACCCAGGCTCCAACTTTGAATTCTCCTGCCTCGGCTTCCCTGAGTGCTGGGATTACAGGCACCAGCAGTCTTCTAAGCATCTTTGCCCTCCCTAGAGTGAAGCCCCCACTACGACCTCGGCGGGTGCCCTCCTCCCTAAGCGGTTTCAGGACGGGATCCGGCCCCAGGGACCACCTCCTGCCGTCTCCCCCTCCCCGTGCCCTTGACCTTGGCCCATGGGCTTTAGCACCCGGCTCAGCTGGTCTCTGTTCTTCTCCCGCCCTCCACCCGCCTCCTCAGTCACTAGAGGATCTTGAAGACCAGAAACGGAAAAAGAAGAAGGAGAAGATGGGCTTCGGCTCCATCTCCCGCGTCTTCGCCAGGGGAAAGCAGCGGAAGTCCCTCGACCCCGGCCTCTTTGATGGTACCGCCCCTGATTATTACATAGAGGAGGACGCGGACTGGTGATGCCGCCGCCTTCCCGCGAGCG